CTTTCTCTTTTCTAGTTTACTTGTCTCTGTGAATTCCTTGGCATGTTTGCTGCGGTATGTCCATTAGGCCACTTTTTTGCCCTTTTTATTATTATAGTTTTTTTTTCTTGCTCTCGCCGGTGGTGTTGGTGGTGGAGATGCGTAGATTCAGCTGATTTTGTTGCTGTTGTAATGATTCTCTTTCTGTGTATGTGTGTGTATGTGTGTGTCTGCACGTGTGCATGTTATTTCTTTTGTCTCCATCTCCTTTAGAGCCTTCATGCCTCTCTTCCGAAACTCTTGCAGCTCCGGTGGGGTTCCCGCGGGATTCCGGCCGCCAGCAAATGCATCCGGCACAGATGCATCCAACACTGTCACACCATCCCTGCTACAGCCGCGGCGCGAGCGGACAGTGTTTTACCCTGACAGCAAAGGGACCACGCAGGCTGACATCACAGCAGCTCGACTTGCAAAGCGGGCGCACATTGAATACCACGAGCCGGTACGAGAAAAACCAGCGGCCCGTGGGGAGGATGCGGAATTCGGCGATGACGCCGAGGCCGCGGTGGGCATCGGATCCATTTCGGGAAACATGCACTCAGCGGGGGAAAACGCTGTGGTGGAGCAGCAGGTACCACGGCAGCAAGTGGATTCTGGCCCTGTGGAGGAGGAAGAGGAGGAGCCGAGTGAAGTTGTATCACGCTACCCGGTAAGCCCGCATGGAAACATTTATTTTCAGGTGGAAACTGATGCCGCTGCTCGACATGAATCGACGGGTATTGTTATTATTCAAACGGAGCAGCTGGGTGTGATGATGTACGATCGCGCTGGTCGACAATACGGCAACCGCCCAGATCCCGGATATCCCATAAAAGAGGAGGACGTCAATAACGCCAAGGCGGGTATGACACTGAAAGTTGCGTCAAAGACCGTGTTACTCATCACGGCATTGAAAGAGGAGTCATTCCGTAGTGGAGAATTTTTCCTTCGCTCCGAGCATCAACTTCGAAGGAAGGAAGAAAAGTTGAAAGAAAAAGCAGATGCCGCAGCAGCTGCTGGTTTACATGCTGTAAAGCCAAAAATGTCTTTTGGTCAACGTCTTTCGGGATGCATGTTTGCCCAGCCCGTGTTTCGCAAGCGGCCACGTGATGGTCAAACAGGATTTACCGTTCCTGTGGCCGGGCGTCCGAAGGCAGGGCCAGGTGGCGTAAAGGCAGAACTGACACCATTGCACGATCCCGATCGTGAGGGCGCCGTGACGCTTTTTCGCGCAGACTATAAAAGAGATGCCAATGGTCGTCCACAGGTGTCTGTTGTGGTGGATCCCGTCATTGGGGACAAGCTGCGGCCGCATCAGAAGATGGGGGTGCGATTTCTCTTTGATTGCATCACAGGGGAGCGGATGTCGGGCTACCATGGCGCCATACTCGCGGATGAAATGGGTCTTGGTAAAACCATCCAAACCGTTGCTACCATTTACACCTGCCTTCGTCAAGGGAAGTATGGCCTGCCTACCGCACGCAAGTGTCTTGTTGTCACCCCTTCCTCTCTTGTGAAAAACTGGTGCAATGAATTTGACAAGTGGTTGGGCGCCGGGGCGGTGAAGTACTTTTCCATATCCGAATCCACACCAAAGGGGGATCGCATCATCTCCCGCTTTGACGGCGAAGGGGATGTCCTTGTAATCTCCTATGATCAACTACGCAAGTACATCAACCGTATCTCCACGCTCAAGTCAGTAGAGTTGGTGGTGTGTGACGAGGGTCACCGGCTGAAGAATGCTGAGGTGAAAACGACAAAGGCGGTGGACATGCTGCCAACCCGCAATCGAATTATTCTCAGTGGCACCCCGATTCAAAACGATCTGTCGGAGTTTCACGCCATGGTGGGGTTTGTCAACCCCGGCATCTTGGGTAGCCGCGACGTGTTTGCGCGGGTGTTTGAGGAACCGGTGATGCAGGGCCGAGACCCTGACTGCCCGGAGCACCTTCGCCTACTTGGGGCAGACCGCGCTCACTACTTGTCGAACCTGACGCAACGCTTCATTCTCCGCCGCACTCAGTCAATTAATGAGTCTTACCTGCCACCAAAGGTGGATGTCACAGTGTTTGTGCGGCTTGGCGAATTGCAGCGCCTCGCTTATGAACAATTATCCGTGCTTGCTGAGAAATCCTCCTGCCCTCCGCTTGTGCTTATCTCGGCGTTGCGGAAGTTGTGCAACCACATGGATCTCTTTCACGAGGCGGTGTTGCACTCCAACAAGGAGAAGGATAAAGGCGTGTGTGGGATCTCCAAGTCCGTGCTTCCAAAAGGATACAGACCAGGAACCCTTTCTGAAGCCGCTGGGAGTAAGATGCACTTTGTTTCCCTCATGTTGGATGAATTACGCACCAACGGGGACCGGGACAAACTTGTCATTGTCTCAAACTTCACACAGACATTGGACGTCATTGCCAACATGTGCCGCAGCAAACGCATTAGTTTTTTTCAGCTTGACGGAAGCATGCCTGTAAAACGCCGACAAGAAGTGGTGGACCGCTTTAATGTTCCTAGCTCTCAGGAGGTTGTCTTCTTGCTCTCCTCCAAGGCCGGTGGGGTCGGTTTGAACCTCATTGGTGCAAACCGACTAATTTTGTTTGACCCCGACTGGAACCCCGCGAACGACGCCCAGGCGATGGGACGTGTGTGGCGTGACGGGCAGAAGAAACGGGTCTTCATCTACCGTATGCTCAGCACCGGATCCATTGAGGAAAAAATATACCAGCGCCAGGTGAGTAAGCAGGGACTTTCTGCCAACGTAGTCGACATGCAGAGTGACTCCAAGCAGCACTTTACGCTGGAGGAACTGCGATCTCTTTTTTGCTACCGCGGCGATACCCCGTCTGACACGCATGACCTTCTGCACTGCACCAACTGCGAGGCGGCGGCAGAGATGTTGGCATCGTCTGCCGCAGGTGCGAGAAAGACGAAGGAGCCGGCAGCGCCAATGAAGTTCCGCCGCGTCGGCGAAAAGAAGAGTGGACCCCGCATGGATGAGTTAAAAGGATGGCGTCACTTTTCCCGCTGTGAGGAGTTTCCACTTGACAAGGTTGTGCGCGCCATATCCGCCAAGGCGCCGCGGCTCTGCAGCTTTATCTTTGCCGATGAGCGGGACATCACGGCAAGCGCCGCCGCTAGCAGAAAGAATGGGGAAAGCACAACCAAGGAAGCCACAGTTAGGGTGGAGAGGCCATTTGTGCAGGACGAAGAGACAATTATATGCCCCAGTCAAGCCGAGCAGTTCTCGGAAGAGTCCGAGCTAGAAATTGAGTTGCATGACGACGAAGAGGAAGCGGAATTTCAAGAAGAAACCGAAGAAGAGGAGGAGGGGGAGGAAGAGAACGATGATTAAAAAAAAAATGCCAGCCTCTCCCACAGCAGCCCAGACCGATGTGTGGCAAAATATTACAGTATTCTCGGCGAAATTTATGACGACCTGCAAATGAAACAAACTTGGTCCGCGCTCCTCGCCTCGCACTTGCAGGTGCTCGACCAGCTATACAGCACACATTGGGCGAGTTACCGCGCACATTTACGCATGCATCATGCATCGTTGAAGTAACTTGTGCTTATTTGTTTCCTTGGCTGGAGTTCCACGTTGCGGTGCAGCTATTTTTTTTTTTTTGTTATTTTGCTCTGTTCCTATCTTGTCGCTAGGCCCTGTCCTCGCTGCGGCTTCGGCCCACCCCGCACTGAGTCGACCACGAACTGCACTGTGTGTGTGTGTGTGTATGTGTGTGTTGGCTGGAGGGGGAAACACGGCTCCCGGGCCCTCATTATCCCCTTCTTTCTCTTTCTCTCTCTCTTTCTCTCCCAATTTTGCCCTCATTGTCTTTGTGCCTGACTTGGGTGCATCAGCCACGAGAACGATAAACGCATTTCGAAATACAACAGCCTTAAGAAGTTGCCCGGCCAGGTAGGGTTCCTTGAGTAACACACAAGCAAAGCAGGACACTCCATTAAGCACTTTCCAGTCATGGCGCAGTCGCAGTTCC